GAGCCACATCCCCAGCCCTTAAAATTTCTTTAGTAACCATTCTTATCTAATAATTCCACCAGAATATTGAGAATCCTATGTAGCAAATAATAGGAATTAGCTCCCTAGAATCATTTCTTGGTGTTCAAGGTCCATTCAAATCTAGACAGTACGGCAGCAGTACACCACCAAATTGTAGCAAACAGATTCACTTAAGCCTCCTCGGTGATCATGACTGAATTGAATCACTTCATACTTTGAGTCATAATTTTAAAACAGATTGGCCTTACCATCCCTCAACCTTTCATAATCTGATACTTCAAGCAAGTGTATCACAATCGAACCATCTAAAGCAGTTCAAAGAAGCCCTGAGTTTCATGTTAAACTTTGTACTCTGAGGAAATTAAAATTAAAACTGAAGAACAGGATCAGTTATTGGAATCTTAGATCTAGTGAGCCTGCACCAATCCTCCTCAGCCACATACTGTGTCCACCCCTGGGACATGTGACAACCTGTCCTTCTGGGACCATCAGAGATGCCAATCCAGACATTGGAACTGGCTTTCAAATACATTTACCACTGAGAGATTTCAAGAACTAAACTTCACCTCCATAGAAAAGATGAAATTTCTGGTGGAGGAAGGTAGGTTTGACTGGGGGTAGTCTCCCTGTTTATTAGGATTATAATTATCATACTATTTCATAGGTGATATCAAACTTGTTAATTTGCACAACATCCTCATTTTATACCTAGATCCATAAACTGCATGTGTCTTGAGCCCATTCCAGCAGAGGGCTCCTGGACCTTGCCCAGCCAACCTGGCACAGAATAACGTGGGCAAGTGGCACGGGCTATGGTGCTTTCACTCCAGTCTTGACAGCACCCCTCCCTCACGTGGGCACAGTCAGGGGTTTATTTCATCCTTCTCATGGGCTTCCGTGTCTAGTAATGGCATGTTACAATCTATGGCATTCATTAGGACTACTTTTTAATTTAAAAAGCAGCATCCAAAAGATGGTGTAATAAAGAACACTGCCCACAAAGAAGGATGAAGTCATCTATCTCTCCAGTGTGGGTGGCATGGAGCTGGCATGAGCCAGGGGGAGCGCTAGAGGCATTCCATGTGAGCAGCCGCCATGACTGCTTTACGCATTTTCTTTTTATTACAAACATAAAAAGCTTCTGAGTGCTGCCCAACGTAAAAATTTAAAGGATGGATGGAGAGTAAAGAACCCTACTTGGAGTAACCAGAGCAGTGATGGAATAGAGGGTACTAGGCTTCCAGGTCAAGCTGGCGTCATGGACACACATGCAGGACCACATTTTCTCACTAATCAAGAATTCAGTATCGAAGGGATTGTTTTTTCAGGGCTTAAAACCATGAAACGAAAAAGAGAGGAAGAATCAGATTGTATTTTTTTTTAATAGGGTTGGAAACATATCCAAGATAAAGGAATCCAAGACTCAGAGAGAGGAACTGTACAGAAAAATCTAAACAGCTGCTGGCTCCAAATGTGGTCCTTAGAAAGGCCTGCTTGGAAGGTTGGCTCTTGGCTGACTTCAGGAAATTTGAATTTCAAATCATTTCCCCCATCTCCAGACTGATAAGAGTGGCTAAGCAGGCCCAAACTATTGATGCAAACAATGGGGTGTAACTTTCCGTGCATGACAGGCAGAGGCGCCTGTACACCAGACCCCGGGAAAACGTGAGCACTGAGTTTTCAGTGAGTTTCCTGAACAGCTTCAGTACAGAGGCGTGGGGTAGGGCCTGGTATCATGGGGACTGCTCTTCTTTGCCTTTCCTGTGCTGGTTTCACTTCATATCCTCTCATTGTAGTAAATTACAGTTGAGGGTCCTGTCTCACAGCCTGTGAACACTGCTGTCTAGGCTTAGAAGCCAGAAGTGGTTCTTGGAGGCCCCAGCACAGAGATGGGAAGAATCCTCCCACTTCCTACCCTAGATCTCAGAGCTTGGGAATCTGCAGCTCAACTTTCTCTATTGGAAGCAAAATAGAGTTTAGGTGGCTTCTGTTTAAGAAATTGTCTCCATGCTATGATTAAAGTTGATTAAAAGTCTGGTAGAAATTTTAGGTTGGAATAATTTTCCTTTAATATTGAGCATAGTACTTCATACCTCCTATCTTCCAGGAATGCTGTTGAGAAATATAAAGCAGCTTGACTTCTACTTCACCAGGGGGCTTAGACCTGATCTGTTCAGCAAAGACCCAATACATATATAACTAAATATATGTATATTTAAAATAACTATCTCCTGGAAACTGAGAGCCCAACCTCTTACTCCACTTCTCCCCCCATCCCTGGAGGCTCAACATCCACCATCCAGATGGGCAGGGCCCTGGAACAGTCTTCCTGAACAGCCCAATAAAAACAAACAAACTAACAATAAATAAGATTCTAATAGCTTTCTTCATCCGACTAACACATCCAGTTCCCATCATGGCCAATAAAACCCTCCCCTGTGCTCAGGCCTCCAGTGAACTTTTTGCCCTGATATTCTAATGTAAGCAGGAAACCAATAATGCCCATAAATAAAGAGGAAATCATCTAATGTGAAAGAGAGATCCATACACGCCAGGAGAAACAGCAAGTGGACAATGCAGAAATGATAAAGAGAGAATCAATTACCACTACTGTGCTCAAATCAGAGATGGCTGTGGGACCAGGGAAACACTGTATCTAGTAACAGAACAGTCAAGACCATGAGAGATGGAAAAGGGGCCTTTGAAAAATGATAGAAGAGATGAAAATCCCAAAAGTCATTTTGGAGGGTAAAGATAAAGTAGTATTCTATAAAGAAAAGCAAAAGATGAAAATATGAGATAAAAGATAAGAAGCTTGATGTTGAATATCAGAACTTGTATCCAAACAACAGGAGAACCAGCAAGAGAGGAAGGAAAAAAATGGAGAAGAAACAACCCACAGAGTCATTGGGAAATTTTCTAAAACAAAAGTCTTTGCTTTACAGATTAAAATATAATTTTTTACCAAAATGACCTAAACACAAGGATGTCATTGTGCCCTTCCACAATGCTGGGCAAAGAGGAGGTCCTCAAAGCTGCTTGCAGATGATTTTTACAGATCACAAGTAAGGGATGAGAAAAGAGACTGACTTGACATTTCTAATGCAACACTGGAAGAGAGAGCACATGAAGCTTCACATTCAATTCTGAAGCAAAATTGTTCCCAGCCTAAACTTTTCATCAAACTTCTAACCAGGCTTGAGGGTAGCATAAAGATGCTTATGGTGATAACAGCGCCAGACATTGGCTTTGCCAGCACCCTTGTTTAGGATGTCGCTGCAGGATGTGCTCTAGCAAAAGAAAGTTCAACAAAGAAGGGTGAAGTATTGCAATGCAGGAAATAAAAGACTGAATACAAAGAAAGGAAGAAAAGCCCAGCATGGAGGTGCAGAGTTATTCAGGAAACAGAGAGCAGTCAAGCCAGTTTGGAGCAGGTCAGTGGGTTCTCAGAGGGACTTTTTAGGGATAGGCAATGGTATCCTCCCTGCTGTGTCTGAATACCTGATGGAAGATGAATTAAGGGCAAGTTCAGGGGCTGGGGCTGGGGCTCAGCGGTAGAGCGCTTGCCTAGCATGTGAGAGGCGCTGGGTTTGATCCTCAGCACCACATAAAAATAAATAAATAAAATAAAGGCATAAAAAAATTCACATCAATCTTTAAAAAAAAATAAAGGACAAGTTCATAGAAACTAAACAACCACCTATGCAAAGCAAGAGAAGCCTGGATTTGGACTGGAGGGAGCCCAACAAGAAGCATAAATCAATTGCAGTTCACCACATCACTCTGGGTAGCGTTCACCTACTGATAAATGCAAACACTGAACTTTGATCTAACTAGGATTACAGCACAACTATGCTAGGAGGATGGGAGATGGGAAGGCTGAGTGATGTGGTAGACAGAAGAGTTACAGCCTCTTTTTCCTTGCAGCACAATTCATGCACAATGCCTAACACACTGGAAAGTTCAGGGTTTTAGCTCCATGGTGGTAGTAGTATCAAGATATCCCACTCAAAGAGATAGGGAAAGGATAGAACAGCTCTCTTATTTTATAATAAAGCTTAAATTTTGTGTGTGTGTGTTTAATATTGATGATACCATTTTAAAGCGTGGCCATGAGTGACTGGGTATCTCATGCGTTGTTGGTTTTCCCTCTATAGAAACATCCTTTCTTGTTAGAGTGGAATTGTGATAACTACTGCATCCAAGATTAATCCATCTATTCCTGGTTTTTCAGCCATAAGATTTAGGACTGTTTTCATATAAACCCGGAGGTGTTCCAAGAAGATTGTCAATACCCTAGTCCTAAATTCCACCTTGTCCAGACATGGTGTATCCACCTGGCAGTCCCTCAGATCTACTCCATGCTTGGCCACCCAGGACCCTCCCACCTGGGTTGTTTTAAGAGATTTCTGGGAGTGAGGGGCTGAGGAGAAACTGCAAAGGCTATCGGGTGCATAATGGGGGATGATGGGAAAATGTGTTACAGACTAGAAAGAGGGGTGTGTGTGTTCTGTTGAAACTCAACCACCCCAGTGCTTTGGATCTGTGACTCCAGGGCTCACAATATCCACAAACCTCAAACTTAACATTACATGGTCTAAGAATCAAGTCTGGTTCCATGGTTTTAACTTTGATACTTTAAAGAAAATAGATAAACTTAATATCCAAATAATCAGCACCTTGGATTACTGATAAAGAAAATGAAGATGATTTTCTGGAATTGCCTTTTGCTCCCACATGTGACTTTGTTTATTATCTTGTTCTCATTGTGTATATGGGGGAAACTGCACGTTCCTTGTGAAGATGGCCTGAGAGCTGAGCTCTCTGTTTATGTGTTTTCAATTTTGCAGAGCAGCTATGAGTGTCTTTGTATCTGAAGTTTTAAGAAAACTTACCTTTCCCTGAAAGAGAGCAGCTGTCATGACAGGGCTTCGTCTATGCAGGGGGCTGAGACACACACTATGCATTTTCTCTCCTAGGAATACCAGCCTTGTAACACCAATGCATGTCCTGAGCTGAAGAAGACCACGCCCTGGACCCCCTGGACACCTGTCAACATCTCTGACAATGGCGGCCACTATGAACAGCGATTCCGGTACACCTGCAAAGCCCGCCTGCCCGATCCCAATTTGCTGGAAGTGGGAAGGCAGAGGATTGAAATGCGGTACTGTTCCAGCGATGGGACCAGCGGCTGCTCCACAGATGGTGAGGGATGGTGGGAGGACGGACTGCTCCAGGGAGGCCTTTGATCTTGAGTCTAAGGTCATGGAAGAACACGGGTAGTGTGTCCTTGTTATTAATTGTGGCTTTGCGGTCTTTATCACAGTGATCCCTGTAGAACAGAGTGGACTTCACAGCAAATTGAAGGGGGAGACACTCACTATGAGAATTCAGCTATATCCCCCCTTGTCCATGGAGGGATGCATTCATAGACTCCCAGTGGACACCTGAAACTGGACAGTACCAAACACCATACGAACTTGTTTTTCCGTGCACACACAAACCTATGAAAAATTATGCACATTAAGAGATTACTAACCATAAATAATAATAAAATAGAATACTTATAAGGATATACCATAGTAAATGTTATGTAAATGTGTCTCTTCCCTGAGTCAACACAAGCATTGATACTTTATGATTGTGGTTGACCACAAGTAACTGAAACCGCAACAAGGGACACCATGATAGGAGATGGTTCTGGGCATTCAGGGCCCAAATAACACTGTGCTTATGAAAGGTCCACAGTAGTTTGTGTTAGATTTATTTTGGATGAAAAAATACACTGAGGAAGGACTTTCCATAGGTTTTCTGGCACTAAAATATAAGGTGAAAATAGTATTTCAGTTTATTTATCCTCAAAGTAGACGAAAGTCAGGAAGAGTGGATTTCTTTGGTTTTACTCATACGGGGGATGTTTCTGTTAAGAAGCACCATGTGTAAGAATGCCACGGACACGTGCCATTGCTTCACCCCCTGAACTGGGCAGACCCCTGAATGCCATGTTAGCAGCCTGGAGAAAGCCTGGGGAGGGAGCCAGACCTGCCCTCTGTCTGGTCCCAATGCTCTGCAGTTCTATCCCCTGGGCAGGTCACTTAGTCTCCCTGGAGCTCCTCTCTCTGCCCTTGAGAAAGCAGGTTGGAGCCTGGTGGCCTCAAAAAGCCTCATTCTTTGCTTTGCTCTCCGTCTCTTTTTGTGTTCTTCAGACGCATCCTCGGAGCTTGGTTTGATGAACACGATGACAGTTACATCTTGCGCTAGAGCCTTCTCAAACATTTCCCAGCACTTCTGTGTTGTGGTTTTACTTTCATTCTCCCGCATAAATGGGACATAGAAAGGGCTGGCACCACTGATGTCATTTCTCAAGAAGGGGTCTTCAGGCCCAGAGGGGCTGGCCTTGACAGATGCCCCAGAGCTGGGGAGCTGGATTGCAGTGCAGGATTGACAGGGGTGCGATAAATTCATGGGGGACAGTGCTTCTCCTCTGTGTGGCCACCAGGAAAGCTCTGAGTAGTGGCCAGTGCTGCTCACATGCCAAAGGTCCCCAGGCTGAGGCCTGCTGGGATACTGGGAGCTGGGAGCTGATGGACATCTGGGATACTCGGTGACCCCAAAGTTGTTACAAATACCTTTTGCTATAAAAGTACACTTCTCATCCTGTACCTGTGTTTGTTCTTCTAATTTACTTTCTCTCTATCTCAGACTAGACTCCCCATAGCTCATCAATCACACAATCTTATTGTTAAATATATATATATATATATATATATATATATATATATATATATTCTTCTTTGATAAAGGGTATCGGTAAATACACCTATTGACATAAGTGAAACCAACACCACCCGCCTGGTGAGCAACAAAATGAGTCACTCTTGTTAAGTTTGTAAAATTCTGCTTTTGTTAGAAGAAAGGATACCTATATTGAAGCACTGAGAGGAAGGTAACTGAAGCCCAGTTTAAAGATGGACATTTTATAAGGGATAGTCTGGTAATCTCCAATTAGGGTTCCTATGTGCAGCCTTACTGCATAGCAGCTCAGGAAAGAAGTCTGAGTTATGGGAGGCTGTCACTCAGCTGCAGTATTTTATTGAGGTGTGAAAGACTAATTCTAGAGAGAAGCTCCTGCTGATGCAGACAGACCAGTGTGTGCGTGGGCCCTGCAGGAACTCCCGTGGAGTCACACTCTGTGTTTCCCCTGCCAGGCCTGTCTGGGGACTTCCTGCGAGCCGGGAGATACTCAGCCCACACCGTCAACGGGGCCTGGTCAGCCTGGACGTCGTGGTCACAGTGCAGCCGCGACTGCAGCAGGGGCATTCGGAACCGGAAGCGGGTCTGCAACAATCCTGAGCCCAAGTACGGTGGCATGCCCTGCCTGGGCCCGTCCCTGGAGTACCAGGAATGCAACATCCTGCCCTGCCCAGGTGAGCAGTGATCTAAAACGTCCAGCAGCAATGACGGCCTTTTACCTTACCCTGGCTCTCTCAGCTCCGTGGCCTGGTGTTGGGATACATGTTCTTAAGAAATGTCAGGTGATATCAGCAGCTGTTGGATGAACCTAGTGAGATGGAAAAGGAAGAATAAAGGGGTCCTCCATTCCCAGCCACCTGCTCCAACTGACTGAAGCCAAATCCCGAGTCATGTCCACCAGTACTGACACGCCTCACTCGGCCCCCTTTGTAGGCTGGCATGTGGCCTCACATCTCTGGGCTGGATTACATTCCTTTTCCTCTTCTTTTTAAAAAAAGAAATTAAAATACTTCTTAGAGCAATGCCCTGTAAGGATTGTGGGCTCTGGATCCTGTCCCTAACAGAGATGTTGGCCCTTCTGATGTGGTCTGGAGAGAAGTGATGTCCCTGAAATATGCATCAGCCCACCTTTCCTGGGACCCGAGGGATCCAGGCCTCCCTGCTGTTCTCCACTGACCCCAGGTTCTCAGGTTGCAGGGGTCAGAGCTGTACCAACAGGTGCCTGTCAGCTCAGTTCCTAGTCCCACTGTCTCCTGCTAGAGGGGTTCTACCTCAAGAATCCCATCTTCTGAAGATGGAGTCTTCTCTCCTGGAGGCTGCGTAGGGCTGGAAAAGGACCTGGCTTTTGGTTGCACTGAATTCCATATAAGCACAAAGATATTAAAGTGAGCTAAAAGAGCCCAGGGCTTTTGGATGTGCCGTTCTCCTACAACCCCTCTGTCTTCCCTCTGATATTCTGACTGTCTCTGCTCCCTTCTGCCGTGGCTCCCAGTGGAGCTCTGTCACCTAAATGGCTTCCACCTGACCTTCCCATGGTCATGGGTTCTGTAACCCAATGACCCACAGCCACCCCGTGCAGGTCACTGGATGCTGTCTGTGCCTTCTTCCTGGGTGAAAGCCCAGGAGCTCAGGGCCTGGGATGGTTCCACCGCAGAAACTCAGTCTTCAGCACAGGCTGGCACACCTAGAAACGCCCATCACAAGTGTTTGTTGAATGGAAAGTGAACAACCAGCCGGTTACCCATCTTCCTTCCTCCCTCTGCCCATTCCATTTCCAGCACTTTTGAACAGTTTGGAGGACCCACTGTGTGCTGCTCACAGGATGGCAAAGACACAGTGTTGTGGTCCACATCAAAAAGGAGCCTGGGGTTGGGGGAGAAGGCATCTGTGAATAATGTCAAGCCAGCATGGCCATCAGATGCTAAGATGGTGACAAGATACAGTGGCCACGTCGGCCAAGCACCTAGTGAGCTAGGAGAGCAACAGCTGCAATACACAGGCTCTTCCAAGCTGAATCTTGAGGGACAGAAAGGAGTTAGTCAATTGACAGGAAGGGATGGGAAGTGGTGTGAAGGGTCATGACAAAGCTGGGTACAGAGGTTTTAATGGCATCAGATTTTAGCATCTTGTCCAGTAGTACACACAGCTTTCTCAGTTTTTTGAGCAAGAAACTGGCTGTGGGAAGTATTTTATAAGCATTCGTTGATGAGGAGAGGTGCATGGATGCACGATGTATGGGTGGGTAGATGCACGTATGAACTTATGCATGTATGTTTAGATGATTGGATGGATGGATAGATGGATGGATGAATATTTGGATGAATGACTGGATGGACGGATGTATTGATGGAGGGATGATTGGTGACTGGATGGATGATAGATGGATGGATGGATGGATGGATGGATGGAGAGATAGATGGATGGATATACAGAAGAAGGGTGGATAAGTGTGCAGATAAAACTGGACCCACAGTTCCCAGCTTTGTAGCAGAGGCGTCCCGTTATGTCCCTGCTCTTGACAGCTGCACTGATCTCCCAGGGCATCTCAGCCTGGATTTCTCCAGCCTCAGGAGATTCCTCCCTTGACTACCCCACTTTCCCAGCCAAGCTGATGCAGAGAATCTGGGAAAGGTCACAGAGCTGATCTTTCCCACAGCCCCATGGCAGGGTTCTTCCCCTGGGTGCTGGGAGGGAGCCCGTGGCGATATCTCTCTATTTGAGTCAGTGCTATGAACTGGAGCACGGGAAGTTGCCGTGGGAATGTCAGGGCCCCTCCCTCCCACACCTCCCCAGGCTCCACTCACTTCCTCACTGCTATCAGTAGAACACAAATTCCTCCAGACACTGGAGGCTGCCCTGGTCCCTGAGTGCGAAGGCGGCCCCTCCATCTCAGACACTCCATTAGCATCGTCTGTGGGTTGTTTTATTTATTTTTCTATTTTTTTAGTTGACTTGGCAGTCAAACCAGAACTATATATACATGACCTAAATATCTTGAAATAGCTCTGGCCTCATTTTCCTTTAAAAGCCAGGTCCCATAGAGTGTCGTGGAGGTTCACAGTGCCATGTCACTTTCCACTGGGGAGTAGCTGAGTTCAGTCTGGATGTGCTAATGTCAACACTCTCCCACTTCCTGGGGGATTCCTAACAACTGGACAGACTAACTCAGCAGGAGGGTGGGCCGCCCCAGCCTGAGGGGTTTGAGCTGCCCACCTTCACAAGCTTTTGACTTCATTTAGCACGTTCTCTTCCTCACAACTCATTCTGCATGATCATTGTATTTCTAAATGAAGTTTTTCCCTATGATTTAATATGAACATAGACATAAATGAACTAGAGGAATGTAAATAACTTTTAAATCAAATCACTAACAATGCCATCTCCAATTGTCACGCGTAACTTTGAGCCAGTGCTGAAATGACCATTTCCTCTCCTGCTGTGGCCTTGTCTAACTAGAACCTTCTCCTATGTCATTCATCTCTGACCTTGAGAAATGGGGGTCCTTTCCCCTTCACACCTTTGTTTCATGGTGTGTTTGATTCAGCACAAAGACTCGAGACCCTGACTGACAAAGGTAGAGAAGAGAGATGGTTCCTTGTTGCCATGTGATACAGAAACAGGATGAAAGCAACCTCAAAGCCTTCCTGGGACCCCTTGTGCCCTGACAGGGTCAACATACACTCCTTTGATCAGATTTAACTATGACGGTTCCTCTGAGGGAGAAGACTCTGAATGAAGTCCAAGTGCATCCAGGGTGTGTTCCCCACTGACCTCTGGTGGACACCTGGAGTGCCTCTCCCTGCTGGACTCCCGAGTCCTCACTTCCAGGAGGGCAACCTCTGCTCAGTTCTTGGGGAGTGGGGTGCCCTGCTCTCCTTCAGCTCTAACAGTGTGGTGCAGTGTTCTGGGCATTGATACTATACCACGTGTGGTGTGCCCTCACCCTCGGGGCTTTATATCTCTTACTGTGCCCAGGATGTCCGGTGAGTGGATGCATTTAGCTTTCCTTGGCTCCCTTTGATCGCTAGTAACTTCACTCCTTTCACTTTTCAGTAGCGATGAGTAGTTGGCTAGAATTCCTAGACCAAAACTTGTACCCTCTTCTGTCACATTACTTAATCTATCAAATTTTTTTTATAAAAACCAATTCCCTGCAATTAATGGCTTTGATTCCTTGAGGGAAACATGGCTCTGAGCTTGGGTATATTTGTCCGATCTTCCCATGAACCAGCCTTTCAGAGGCTAAATTACATGGTGATCCCAGCCACAGGAGATTCCCCCATGAATTTTTAGCATAGAAATGGCAGGAGTGACGTCAGACCCATACTGTTGGTTCGCCTTGTTCTTTATGTATAGCATGCCAGCCTCCCATCCAGAGCTCCCAGGTCACTGGCTCCATGACCTAACCTCTTAGTGCCCGGAGCCACTCATTTCTAGAATGTTCCCCAAGGCTGTTGTGAGGACCATTGCCACAGTGACTGAGCTCATTATTATCCTTGTTATGCCCAGGCTTGCTGCTCTCCGCTCACGGGCTCGGGTTTGTGTCACTCCTTGATTCAGTGGCACGTCCCTTCCTCCCCACATGGAGTTGTACAAGCCCCTCACAGTGCAGTCGGCTTCATTAAGCTTTGCATTCTGTAGTTTCTACTTTAAAAATAGTACAGACTTTCTGATATGAACTCATACTATGGTGCTCCGTATCTGTTTCCATCTGGGCAGACCACCTCATAGCCAGGGTCAGTGACCACCTCACGGCCAGGGTCGGTGCTCCAAGGTGCAGGTGGAAACCTGTCATGCGAGGAGGACACCCTTAGGAGGCCAGCTGGGAAGTGACCTGGGGCTCTGGGCAACTCCAGCCCCATGCGACTGCCTGAGAGAGTGGAGGCTGGGCTGGACTCCCCTTGAGTCCCTCTGCACGGAAGCAGCTCTTCCCCAGCCCTTAGAGGATGTGCCTGCAGACAGTGAAGTACAAATGGAGCTCGGGGCCGAGCACAGGGTGAGCTTTGGTTTGAGCTCCCCAGGGGCCACTTCAGCAGCTGGATTCTGCCCAGGGGCTCCTCAGAACTTCAAGCAGGAGCCGTATTCTCATTTAATGGGATAAACCACCTTGTGCCAGGAGGACTTGCTCATGACCCCAGAGGGACCGTGGGTATGTGTGAGCAGAGGGCTATTAGACCAGATCAGATGTGGACTGGCATAGTGTGAATGGAAATGTGGGAGGGATAAATAAATATCCTGAATATCTCGGGATAGAATGAGTGTAGGAGATCACAAAATGATACATGATTATGGGAAGACTGTGAAGAAGCGCACTAGTGTTTTTGTTTTTGTGTTGAAATAAAAGCACTTAACATGAACAGGTCACTAAATGCATGATATAGTGTTGCTGGCTACAGGCCCAGGGTTGTACAGCAGATCCCCACTGTCCCTTCTTCCCCACCCCTGGGAACACCATTTTACTTGCAACATCTATGAATTTGAGTATTTTAGATGCCAGCCATGACTTACACAATACTCACATTCTGCTTGACTTATGTCACTTAGCATTATGTCCTCCTCCATGCTGATCCATGTTGTTGCACACGGAGAGATCTCCTTTTTGAAGTCTGAGTAATATTCCATTGTATCTATATACCATATTTTCTTTATCTATGTATATTGACATTTTGGATGTTTCCATATTTTAGCTGTTATGAATAGTAATGTAATTGCTGATATCTCTTAGACTAATTGCAATTTTTTTCTGGTGTACTCAATTTTTGGAAGTGAGATTTCTAGATCCTATGGTAATTCTATTTTTAATTTTTTAAGAATCACTATTCTGTTTTTCATAAGCAGTTACACCAGCAGCACACAAATGGCTTCAGTTTCACCACGTCCTTACACAAATTTTTTATTTTTTAAATCATAGCCATCCTAACAGGTGTGACTTGGGCTCTCACTGTGGTTTTGATTTGCTTTTCCCTGATGCTTACTGAGTCTTTGCATCTTTTCAGATGTGTAGGAGCCTGGTCTGTGGGTCTCGGGATCCCAACCTGGGGAAGACAGGGGCTAATGTGAGCAGAGAGAGAAGGGCTCTGTTTATGAGCAGTCATGGCAGGTTCTGGTCCAGGAAGCAGTCCTGCCTGACATTCACACGGTGAAGCTGCACAGTTAATACCCAACCCTAAGTCTGGCTGCTGATGTTGAGATTACATCTCCAGCCATTAAAACCTGCCACCAGGTCTGTGTGGCTATATGGTTTGCTTGACTGGAGGCTGCATTTATGGGGTACCCATCAGTTACCTTAGTGGGACCATTGGATTTTTTTCTCCTCCTCTGTCAAACCGTAATCCAACCCATGAGGAGGGCTGTGACTTGAATTCCTGATCCAGGGCTGTAAGTCTTGTCTGGCCAACTGCATGGTGCAAGGGTGAGAGCTGGCCAGGGCTGGCCTTAATGGCCACAGTGTGCTGCGTGTTCCTTCTTGGGGAACTGGGGTTTTGGTAGGGCATGCATTGTGCTCCTCTGTCATCTGAAGACATGACATGTTTAGAACCATTTTCTGAAAGAACAAAGAAGAGGCACTGGAGAAGGAAGGGAAGGTGCACCAAGCTATATGGATGGCCCAGGGAAACTTCCTATGGCCGCACATGGCCAGGACTCGGCTGCTACCTACACCCACGCCTTCTGTAGTGCAGATTCTGTCTTCACCTCCATCAGATGGATCTGGTTGGGGTTTCTGAAGCATTGTGACCTTGTGTTCCTTCCCAGTGGACGGCGTGTGGTCCTGCTGGTCATCCTGGTCAAAATGCTCAGCCACATGCGGGGGTGGACACTACATGAGGACCCGCTCGTGCACAAATCCAGCCCCAGCCTACGGAGGGGACATCTGCCTGGGACTGCACACGGAGGAGGCGCTCTGCAACACCCAGCCCTGCCCAGGTAAGCGGACCTTGCCTGCTGCCTGACCTGGAGAAAACTCACCTCTTTTCCTCCTTAAAAAAAAAAAAAAGAGAGAGTATGCAGTAATCCATATTAGGTTGTGGTTCCTTTTGACAAAATCACACATGCATGGGATTTGATTGACTCCGTTTCAGTCCCCGGTACGTACACCCCCTTTCCCTTCTCTCCTCCCTCACCCCTTTCTCCTCTTTGGCTCTACTGATCTTCCTCGTGCTCTTTTATTTACTTATTTTTGATGGGTGCTTTCTACATATACTAACAGGTAGAATTTCCTGTGGTATGTTTATAAGTGCACGTGACATGGTTTTTAAAATCTATTCCACATCCTTTCCTTTCTTCCTCCCTCATCTCCATCTCCTTCCACTCCACTGATCGTCCCTATCAGTATGATATTTGACCCCCCATCTTTTTCCTTTGTTTTGGACTAACTTTCACATCGCAGGGAAAACTCTCAACCCTTGACTTTCTGAGTCTGCCTAATTTCACTTAGCACCATGTTCCCCAGTTTCATCCATTTACCAACGAATGTCATAATTTCATTATTCTTTGTGGCTGAGTAAAACTCCATTGTGTATATAGACCACATTTTCAGTATCTATTCACCTGTTGATGGGCATCTGGGATGGTTCTGTAACTTAGCTACTGTGATTGGCAAACTCACCTCTTTCGGATTTGTAAATGGTGAGGAGGACGATGGTATCACATCATAGCGAGTCCTAGAAGGGGGACCAAGTCAGTTCTCAGGGGCACCCTTAATGTGACTTCCTAGCCATTGTTCTATAATCAAATCCTTTTCACTTTGTCTGGTGTTCAAAGCCTTTATCACATCAGAGGTGAGTATATGCATGTCATTATAACACCCAAGCTCTTTGATTAACAAATAGATCCTGATTTGGCCTTCACTTCACTAATTAACACTAATGGCTCTTGGCAGCTCCTTGCTGTGCTAGGGAGAAAGCCAGAAGAAACAAGCACCCGTGAGCGCCCCCTGGAGGCTGGATGGCTGAGAGGGTGTCTTGCCTGCAGTCCCTTGTCTCCTCTGCTCGCCCAGGGCCTGGCCTCAGTCTTCTTCTGAGGATCCCCAGAGCTGCATTTCAGGAACACATGCTAAAAGGTCACGGGAGGCAGTAGGCATTCTTGAGGACACCTCACCCAAGTTCGATGGCCTGTCATCCAGAGGTGGTGCAATTAGAGAAAATATAAAGCATGAAATCAAATCAGTAATTTTATAATTAATTATTTAATCAGATTATTTTTAAAAAACGAATAAATCTTAAAATATCTTACCTGATGTCAGGATCCAGGATTTTGTTGTTGGGTGTCAGCATGAGGACCAGAGATTCGGGTGCAGCATGCCTCACACCTGCCTCAGAACCTGGGTGAGGGAGCTCCAAGGCCCCGGGAGACACAGGTTGTGCTGAGGCAGCCTCCTTGTTTCAGAAGCAGCCTGGCTCCTGACACATGGGTCCTCTTATCCCCCCTTCTGGGTCTGACTGATGCCGGAAACCTCATAGTTTATTAGCTTGCTCCCGGGGTTCTTCCTGGAAAGTTTCAGTTATATTAAAAAGAGCTTCAAGACCAAATTCTCAGTCATTTCAATAGCAGGGCCTTTGTATATTTTTGAAGCAAAAGCTGTTACCTTTACCTGGATCAAGGTGCAAGTTGGATTTCCAAATTTTTTTTCCAAACTGCACAGAAAATGTACCCTTTTTTAATTGGTTAATATTACTTAAATAATATGGAGTGTTCATTTTTAAACCTTTTTTCATAGATATGAGTTTCTCTTTTCACACATCTGTATGCCTGAGTGATTTGGACAGATTTCAGCCATTTTTATACATAGGACAAGGAATTCTTTCATCCCTCTTCTTCTGGACTTGACCCAAGGCTTGTGAACTGGCCTGCTGCTCTTTTGTGCTGGTTCACCTGGGGTGAAATGAATCCTGCCCTGAGGGTATCCTGGCTTTGCTACATTGACTCTGCAAAACTGTTGTTAAACCCCAGAAAGTGCTTTAAGCTCCCATTCAGCCACTGAGGATTTCTCATTAACACACCTTCCTTCTGTTGTCTGAGCAGAGTCCTGTGGAAATGTGCAGGAATTTATTAGGAATGCATTTGAGGCTGCTCTTTGCAGGAAAGCTTGGCCCTGTGAGAAATGGTAATGTCATTGAAATTTCTGCCCCCAACTGAGGGTAGTTTATTCACTGCTGGGTCTCATGGATTAGCTTATTGACTCTAAAGACAATTTTTATAGCATTAAAATAAGGTGGTCTTTAGAAATGTTTATGGAAGCGTATTATATCTGATTATATTACACCATGTTTTTTTGTTTGTTTGTTTGTTTGTTTTTTCCATCCTCATGTATTTTATTTACTGGCCTGGTCAGAAGTTATGACTACATCTTATCAAAAACATAACATGAGAACCTAGACCAGCTCATGTACCTTGGCAGATTAATTTTAGCAGGAGTTCTTGCCCCATCTCCCATCTTCTGTCCCCCGCAGAAAGCTGGTCAGAGTGGTCAGACTGGTCCATGTGCGATGCGTCTGGCATCCAGATCCGCGCCCGCCAATGCATCCTTCTGTTCCCTGTGGGTGTCCAGTGTTCCGGAAACACCACCGAGACCCGGCCATGCGTTTTTGACTCTAATTTCATCCCAGGTAAGCGCAGCGGATGGTGTAAGTGTGAACAAAAGCATCCCGACATTTAGACAGAAAGTGGTTCACGGGTCACAGTGTGATCTCGGAGGCTGTGTCTGGTGAAGCTGAGATGATGATCCCATCAACTCTCATGGTTTGTAGGGGATAAAAGTGCAGATTTGTAGATAAATTCAGATTTAGACTTGAAATACTTCTTGAGTGTAAGATTTTTTCAAACACAATGCCATCTATAATTTATTGATTCTAATAGAAGATTTTTCTCTAAAAAATGGAAATGTGTTATTTGGTTATTTTAATATGGGGTTAAGTGCTTTGGCAATATTATGTGTGTGTTTGCTCAGAAAACCAAGGTCCATTCTCTATAAGAACGTTAATATATTTGGGGGAATTGATTTGCATCATGATTCTCACCTTGGAGAAGTGGCTTGGCCTCTGGTCACAGACGGGGTGTGGAACCAGGGCTCAGTTGTTGTGGGTAGCTCTTCACCATTGCCTTCTCACAGATGGCTGGTACTCTGCACATGTACACACCACGTAGCACATGCCCAGCGTGCCCTTTAGGACTATAGCGTGGACCAAAGCAAACCAATTATTGCAAAGAAACAATAGGGCTCCATGAACCAAATTGTCTTCATTTCCCTGCATTTGTGGAAAAAATAATAGTATCTGAGAAACAATTATTAGCCTTAGCCTTGTAAGTCACCTGTACCATGTAGGGTGCAGAACTGTGTTATTTATCTGTTTAGCCATAGACATATTTATAATTTTTGTTTTGTAATGGAAAATCAATGTAGGAGAACTAGACTCCTGAAATGTTCCCCCCAACCTGGTGGGAGTTGAGACACTTAGAAGACCTCTCTTCTCATTGACATTTTGCTTGTGGAGTGTAGATATGGCATGATAAAGGGCACCAATGTGCTCCTGGATATGACTTTGTTATGGTTACTTCCTTTGAGCTTTGGTGATTTGGCTTCCATTTCACTGGGACTAAAAGATCATTGGTCTTGATGCAATATAATAGTCACCAAGGAACAGAGATCCCAGGGCTGGCAGGGGACATTCTAACAGGAATCAGCAGGTGCTTTGGTTGCAGCCTAAGGGGTCACATAATTTTTTTTCCTGTGATAATGAATCTTGTCCTGTCCTAGTCAAAGTGACTGAACCAATCCTTCTTGGGTTTTTTGAAACAATAAACAAGTATAAATTTGTTTTGAAAACTAATCAAGCTTTGGAAACTTGGACTCCCAACAGATTAAAAAATCATTGGACCTTTTGCAAATGAAACATTAATGTAAATAAATGAACCTACTTCCCAACACCCTTTATGCATTGTGATTGGAGTTTTGTTTTTCCAGAAGTATCTGTTGCAAGATCAAGCAGTGTAGAGGAGAAAAGGTGTGGAGGTAAGTGCCTCCTTTTAACTAGTTTCTTACTGGTATTCTGGTCTCTTCCAAATATTTCTTCCCCCGTATGTCTTCCTTGTTTCTGCTATTGGCAAAGAATTACATGGAGGTGAAACTCCTGGACCCCAAACATCTACCTTTGCATAAACATTAATAGTCAAGATTTAAGATGTGGCACAGTGGTTCTCAGAGTGGGGTTCCTTGGCCAGCATCATCAGCATCCCTTGGGAACCTAATAGACATGCAAATTCTGAGGCCCCAGCTTCAACTACAGAACCAGAACCTCTCTGAGTGGGGCACAACAATCCGTGGCTAAGTGAGCCCTGCAGGGGACTCTGTTGAACGCAACACTTGATGAACCAGCGATCTTGATATGAGTTCAGGGAGATTTTCCACGAATAAAATGAAATCCAAGGAGTTTGTTTATATTTATGTGCAAATCCATTGCACCTAACCTTGAATCTCCAGCCCACTGAAATGGCTATATTGTAATGGGGGTACAAGATTATACCTACATCACTAGAGAAATTTTTTAAACTGCAACACTGAGTCTCAAAAACCACATTCTTTGATTCAAGCATATGGAAGTTTGGAATTTGCAGTCTGTACCTTCCAAACCTTAAAGTTATTGTTTTCATTGAAAATATGCCTGAACAAAAGACTTATCATCCAAAGACCAAAGCATAGCCCATGTCCACTTTGACATCTGAGCCAACATCCATATCTTCACATGTACGACTGATGGCAAATAGATATCAATGCCCACCACAATCTATTCCACCAGGGGAATCCAGAGTGCTCAGCACAGCAGGCTTTGGTTTTTGTTTTTGGTCTCAAGGAAGTGGGGGCTTCCTAACCATGTTTTAGGAATGTACTTAGCATTAATAACTACATGGATTAGGAGATTGCTGTCTATACATCTGGTTTAGTTAGCCATCTGTTAATGTGTCCACTAATTCATTCAAGAATCTTTGCTAAGCATCCACTCTGTGTTGATTTTGTGAGGGGCATCAGGTTTACATTGAAGACCTAAGCAGCCCCAACACCTTTGGAACTCATAAGAGACCCTATTGCCTAAGACAGGCCAGGACATTCATCTTCCCATGATCTAAGTCATGCAGCAAGCTCACCAACTGGCAGTTGCTAATACAGGATCCACTTGTGAGATTAATATGCAAGGGCTTATATAAAATGATGGCAGTGGCTAGTGTCCCTTCATGTGTTTATATAGCCCTGTGTGCCAGACATTATATTCAGTGCTTCAGAGAAGAAGTGTCCCATATGGCCCATACAAAGTGAATTTGCTAGGTACTGCATGGAGAAGCCTTGGAAGTAGAGGAGAGTTTGAAAGTGACGGTTTCAGATTCTAGAAGGACTTTTAGGTCTCATACCCTGTATTATACAACACCCACAGAGTCTGGGGCTATGCTCCAGGATCAGTCTCTGAACGATGCCTCACATTAGCAATGTGAGGTGCTAATGCAGCAGAATGAGTCATGTCAGGCCACGAGTCACTGTCAGATACATAGAGAAAACCACTTCTCAGGGATTTTGCACCTGGGAATTGCAGAAAAGGGATAGTGTCCGTGCCTTTGTACCTGTGCCATAAATGGGGCCTGTGAAGCTCAGAGAGGTAAGGCCCTGGCCCAGGTGCACACAGCTCATGCTCAAGGGTGCGAGGGATGAGATCCTGGCAAGGGGTACAGTGGGAGCTTTAAACACATAGCACTATGGAAAAAGTGACCTGGTAGGGTCTAGATGTCCGTGTCCAGGGAACTCGAGTTACAGCAGCCCTGCAAGGTGACGATCTTGCTCAGCTCACAGGTCCAGGGCTGTCAGCTGCCCTCAGTCAAGGGCAGGTCAGGAGTGGAGCAGTTCCTAAGGTGTTTTCCCATTCTCAGAAGGCCAAGTCAGAACTTGAATAGTCACACAGCTGGGCTGCAGTAGAGGTCACTGGTCACCCATGCTCACTGCCAGAGGCTCCCATCACCTTGCCCAGGACAGGCCACCCTGTTCCAATGTGCAAATCCCTCTGGGGCCTTAAAGACCCAGGAGTTGTTCTGCAGGCCCCTCCTGTACTGCCATGCTGCTCTGAGTCTTGGCACCAACTTTGCCAAGAGCTGTACAAACTAGAGCCAATCATGAGGTGCTGTGGGCTAAATCACAGAAGCTTGGATTACTCTGCATTGCCTTAGGTATTTAAGCTTCTAAGAACTGATTGCCTTAGGTCTTTAAGCTTCTGACTTGGACATTCCACAGCAGGTAAGAGAAGAAATGGATCCTAGCATAAGGCTAAGAGGTGAAAATAAGCATTTACCTAGCAAGGATGTTTGGGGATGTTTAGGGAGACAACATAGATGTGTTTTCTCAGTTTATTGAAAAATCAATAAAATTTTGCTCATAATATCATCCAATTACCCAACTGAGCAGTTGGTCTTTATTTCAGGTTTATCTAAAAAAAAGGCCAAAAAATAAAAGCATATTCCAAGGAAAGAGCCACACTAAACAGATTCAACAGAGATTCAATAGGCACTATTTTTTCCCTCTGTGGAAAATGTGCTTCTATCGAGATTTTTCAACCTAGCTATTTTTAGTTGCATGAGACACAAAGAGAACATGATCATCATAAAGATGTCAGCTGGTCCTGGCCTTCCCCAGGCACCTGCAGGAATGATTCATGCGATTAATGACAAACTATCTGCATATGGAGATGGTAATACATCTTCCATCTGTTATAAAAACATGAGTTATCAGTGCCGCAGAGAGTGTTTTTATCAGTATGTGGTATTGACCCCAGGAGTCCTGACACCTAAAGTATACAGAAATGAAAACTCACGTGACATCAGTACTTGCTTAGGTACAGCTTCAGTGTTACAGTAAACAATTCTAGTGTTTGTTGGTGAAAAGGTCCCACCTGTCACAGCCCAGGAGCCCTCCAGCTGCAGAGGCTTCTGACAAAACCAGGAAAGGCCAGGCATCTGTGAGGTCCTTCCATCATCCTGTACCACTGACCAAATAAGCTGGAGGTGGAAAACTAAAGGGGTTGTCAGGGTGTGGGGAATACCTATAGAATACTCTAGTAATATCCACCTGGATCTTCCAGCTCTCAGTGCTGTGTACCTGGACCCTGTGTAAGGAATTGCCTGTGTGTTTGGAATCGCAGTGCATTTAGGAGAGTGTTGGGCCTGGCTGACCATGAACCCCAGAGAGGGCAGGCTGGGTTCACCATGTCCATCTACCTCTACCTTGGGGGGCAACACAGACTTGTTTTCTCAGTTTGTTGAAAAATCAAAGTTTGCACAAAAAAATCATCCAATGGGACCAACTGGTCTCCCTTCCAGCTTCTAGTCCATCTCTCGGGGCCCTGGGCTCCTGCAACACAGTGCCCACGAGCAGAAAGGAGCATGGTGTACAGGAGAAAGCTCAGGGTTCAGGGGAAGATGGGGATATTCAGCCTCTACCATCTAGCATGGGTGAGGCCCTGATGGGTCTCCTGTCCCCTGGGGCTCGGCTTCCCAGGGAACCTCTCAGCCACTCAGGGATCTGTGGGGATCAGGAAGGACCCTTGGGGTCCCAGCATGTAGTAGGACCTTGGTGACTAGTAATTAGTGACCTTTGACACCAGGTGCCAGAAGGGGGCTGGTGCCGTTGGGAAGGATCCCTGAGGAGTGAGCACTGGGAATGGGCATGAGGAACACAGGGTACAGGAGAGCTGCTCTGTGGGCCTCAGGGGAGGAGGCCTGGGCAGTTCAGGGGCAAACACCCAGGCCCTGGCTGTGGGGACAGACCTCCAGGCCCTCTGGCCCCAAGAGCCCTGAAGTCTCTGTGGCCAGACAGGCTCCTCTGGACTTGGGCTGATGCCCAGCATACTTCTCCATTCTGCCTTTGGATCTGGGGTTGACCATCACAGGAGGGCATCAGGTGACACTGCACCCCCTGGTGACACAACGAGGGGATACTTAGGGGGAAATGGGGATCCTCGGGATGTGCTTTCAGCAGTGGAGAGAGGAGGCCAGCAACCTGCAGGCGGTTACTCACGCAGGGCCATTGCAGTGTAGGAAGTCACGTCATGGTCTGCTTCTTGTGACTCTCCCTGAGCTCGGCAATGTGAGAGCTGCCCGGGTGTTGGTGTTTGTTCCCTGAAAGATGCGAAAGTAATAGTGGTGTTCTCCCAGCACATGGGGAGACCGACTTTTGTACTGTTTCTCAGGCCCACATAGGTAGGTCTTGGCAGGCTGCCCTGATGTCACTCAAGCCACTTCTGTTTCAGAGGTTAGGTCCAAGTCTGCTGGAGGAAAGTCGCTCAAAGAGAAGAGATGCTGATTAAATATAAAAACAATAGGTCACGGTCACCAGGAGACTGTATTTTATTCCTTTAACTAGAATTCTTGTTTTCTTTGGAGTAAACCATTTTCTTAATGAGATCACCAAAATATAATCTAAGCAAAAAGAGTGGTCCACAGGATAAAATTTGTACACATGCAGCACATGTATATGCAGAATTCCTCTTGAAGGACCTGGGAGAGTGGCTGCCTTTAGCAAAGAGACATTTTTCCTTCAGAACTTTGGGAGTTTCTAATGTCATTATTATATAATGCATGTTTGTGCAAGAAACGGAAAACATGAGGATCTATGTAAATGGAACAATTTTTAAATAAGATGAAATAATAAAAGAGGGTGAGGAAAGAAGTCTGGCATGACCATGCGCAGAAATTGGAAGCTGTCAGTGCCTTTCCTGCTGTCCTGGGACCTGGCAGTCCTGGATGCAGGGAGGTCCACCTGTTAAGGGACATGAATGAACTGTGCTGTAGAAACCCCAGAGAACAGAGATTATACTGCTCTTAGAACAGAAGAGTACTGTATAAGCCTTCAAAGGGGAAAAAAAAAGATATTCTGCTAGCTTATTCAGGTTTAAGGTGACTTGAAAAAACTGATTATAATCCCCAAGAGCCTGAATTTAAATATGCTGTGCTCACTGTGGAGAAGTCTCCTGGTGGCCATAGCATTTCAAAGAGGAGCATGATTACGATTTCTCTACTTTGGGAGTGGGCTTCTCATCTTGCTCTTTTCTAAGCACTTGAGCCTTGGGGTAGCGCCTTCTTTCTGAGCGTAGCATGCCTGTGATTCTGCCCTCAGAGTTCAACATGTTCCACATGATCGCCGTGGGGCTTAGCAGCTCCATCCTCGGCTGCCTCCTCACCCTGCTCATCTACACCTACTGCCAGCGCTACCAGCAGCAGTCCCATGACGCGACCGTCATCCACCCCGTCTCTCCCGCCCCCCTCAACACCAGCATCACCAACCACATCAACAAACTGGACAAGTACGACTCTGTGGAGGCCATCAAGGTGAGGAATCGGCGGTGCCGGCTGTCTGCAAAGGTCCTTGGTGTTGGCGCTGGTGATTGGGTTGGTGGAGTGTAAGGGAACCTTCGTGATCACCCACCTTTTAAGCTTTGTTTTGCCTGGAAAAACATGGCATCTCATGTGGGGATAAATTTAAAAAGGGACATGAAGCAGCAGCACACCTACTGCTGGAGATACCAGGTCTGTGGCCCCGGTTCAGCTCTGATCCACCCTTGCTGTGGGGCCTGAACTTGGGCATCAGGCATGTGCTCCCAGGTGAGGCCCTGAGCACCACTGGGCAGTCAGACACCCACTCCCATTTCAGGAGCAGACCTAAGCTTCTTTGCACCTCAGTATGTTTATCTTTAAAATCTTAGTCTTCATCTTTTATCTGATGGCACACACTCTTGCACGGTTCTTGCGACAGTGTCCTAATGTACAGGAGGCTTCTTGCATCTGCACAGAAGGCCACAGGTGTAACCTGAGAGACATCAAGGGTCTTGTTCACCTCACCTACTCTTTCTTACCACCCACATGGAGGAAGGGGGTTTAGTGAGACCCTGAGCTGCATCTCACTAAATTCCCACATTCCTGTAGGTTGGGGACTTCCTTCACATTCTTAGGGAGATCTGCTGTCAGCTCTCTGTTCCAGTGGTTCTCTGTGAAATTGGATTTCCTTCCTACACAACAATAGGAACATATTTGCTCTCACAGCTTTGGGTGGAGGGGAGAACTTGTTTCCCGGGAGCTGTGTTGTCCTCCCTTGTCCATTCCCTACGGTGTGGCCTCCACTCCTGGAGGCACAGCCTGTTGGCTTTACCCATGGACTCTGCTTAAACCAGGGTCCAGAATCCATTAGCACTGACTTCCCCAGGTGACAGGCCCAGGGAGGGAGCATCAGGACTCATGACAGATCCCCATAGCCTCTCAGAAATGAACTCCTAGAGAGCGAGGAAGAACATGTCTACTCTTATCAGCAAGAACCTTCCCAAGGCTTCCAGAACCCACGAGTGGTCTCCTCTGCATGAGTCCAGCAGATCCACTTACCTGTGGTCCTGTTGATGCAGGAAGCAGAAGGGAATTTAGCTGGTCTGTGTTCCCACTTAAGATGCAGTAACTTTCAAGATGATCAGAAATGCTGCTGCCATAAAGCAGAGGAACTGGAGGGTGTGGATTGCTGCCTGGTCTTTAATAATCCTTCTAGAACTTTATTCTGACACCTGGTCCAGGCTGGTCCTACACAACTGGCCTCTGCCCCTTCTGCTACATCTTTATTTTAGTCCTCTTAATATTTACTCTCTATTTGATACAGTTGTACTCTTTGAAATTACAGGTGACTTTAATGACTACTAAGGAGGTAGCCATCTGTGTCCAGAGATGGCCGCATCAGTCACCTTCTGAGGGCAGAGAGAAAAGAAATCAAGGCAGTTTAATTGGATACATTTGCTTAAATAAGTTCTGTCGAGATCTCTGATGAGTGTACCAATCCATGGAAATCGGGAAGCCACTTAAATGTATACTTAGACATATGTGGTGACTTTCAAAGTGTCTGCTAACTTGAAATCATTCAAGTTATGGTTTCCTAGGGGTTTAGATTTAGGTTTTCTGACCCTCTACTTCTCTTCCTAACTTCCGAACTAAAGTTCAAAAGTAGAGTGGAAGATACCCAAAGCAGCCAACCTTATTCTAGTTACTAGTCAAGTCTTCCATGAGGCAATGGATCTGGGAAAATCAGTGAATGAGGAAAACTGTCAAGAATAGGGGAAGCCTAGGAGAGAACTCAAGTTAGCATAACGGTCTCCTAGTTATATTTCCCTCTGAAGTGCTACTTGTGGAGTATTCTTAAATCTTTCTATAATGTATTTTGCAGGCATTTAACAAAAACAACTTGATCCTAGAGGAAAGAAACAAGTACTTCAACCCGCACCTCACGGGGAAGACCTACTCCAACGCCTACTTCACAGATCTCAATAATTACGATGAGTACTAGTAGCGCTTAGTCCTCGGTTTTTGTAAATCCTCAGTTCCTCAAAGCCTGTGCTCCATGACTGCCCATGTTTCTGAGGCTTCAGACATAAAGTGTGGATAGACTTCAAGTGCATTTCAAGCCAATAGTGTCCCATTGCTGCGAAAAAAAAAATACACATCCTTAAAAGCAACAAAAATCGAACTGTGGCGTCGTGAAAGTCTGGTCCATAACAATCACTTGATCATTGTTGAGTGAGCCATGGTGTGACATTTGTTTTTTAATTATGTTCAGTCCATTTTTCTAAAAACCTATTGTTTCCATGAGCTTTATTTTATCAGTGTGCCGCTCATATTGGAAGGAATCTTTAGAAAGAAAAAAATGTCTTTTTGCTTTTAAGTGTAAATCTTCCTGATGTTTTAATTTGAGGAAATGGGTATCAGAGACCGCCTCCCTCCACAAGGTCCATAGTATTTGATAAAACAACAAAAATGAAGTGGCCAGGCAGTTTTTCACCCTGGATCACCCAAGGTCCTGATCTGGGTGATATTGTGGATTCTCAGAAGCAAACTTGTGTTTGGACTTGAAATAATTCTTGCCCAGGGAAGCCCAGGGGTTCCACCTGACCTGGACCTGCAGAGGTAAGGGTCAACCAAGACGTCCTGCTGTGGCCTGGGGTATGACTGTTCTCCCTGTGCAGGTGAGCAAGGGGGCAGAGGCTCAGACACAGGGAGGTGTGGCCGTGGCTAGCAACTTGCTGCAGAACCAACCTTCTTCTGACTCTTGGACTGCATGGTGTTCCCGGGAGATCCTCGCCACACTGTTGGCCTGGAGCCTCCCGTCTGGCCATGGTGACATCCTGAAGAGCCGGCATCTAGAGGAACTACTGGTACAGCATTTGGACAGACTGTATACCTTCTTTCTCCCTGCAAAGAACAATTCTGGACTTTTATGATGCTGATTAAGGAAAGTATTAAAAATACTGAACTATAATTGAAAACAACCTTTTTTTATTTTCCACGTTATGCCAAGTGTTGAAAGAACTGACATTTAATGAAATATCTTTTTGTTCTCCATCTCCCTGATGTAACTAATGTATGGCAATCAGCCCCTACTAGAGCATTAATGATGTGTAAAGCTGGCTCTCCAGAGCCCACCTCAGTCTACCTGATGGGACCCCCAGCAGAAGCTGCACTCACTGCCCTAGGCCAAGGGAGGAGGGAGAGTTTTGTTCCGGTGCCTTCTCTTTACCCCAGTCTGCCTCCCATCCACCCAGTCCCACCAAGTCCCACTCTTCCCTGCAGAGAGGCAAAGGCAGTTCAGGTGCACTTGGAAGTAAGGATGGATGATCTCCATGGTCTCAGCGTTGGTCATTAATTAACGATTCATAGTGTTTTAAAGCCATTGCTAGAAGTCCCCAGAAGGAAAAGAAAAGATCAAAATTTTACACAACTGACACGTAGCATGTGGCAGCTGGTTCAATAATTATTGAAAGAACAAAATTGAAAATGTTCATCTGAATCCTCCGGGCATTGTGATAAAGGCCTGAGTAGATAGCTATATCTGTTCTTCTTGATAAATGGACCTTCAGATCTGTGAAAATATATAGTACGGGTAGCGAAGAACACAGAACATTATTAGCATATGCGTTTTCACTATATCCAATTTAAAGAAGCAATTTCAGAAAATGTTGGAAAACTATGATTAATAATGAATATTGTACAATTCAAAAGATTCCCAAATGCCCAAATTTGCAAAAATGGTTCTGTATTAAAATTTTAAAAATGGCAAGTGGGCTCTAGGAGATGTGCTAGGTTGGATCTGGAATGTTAGATTGTAAATGGTTGATGTACAGGACCTCACCAGTGGGGCTCCATGTGGCATTTCATGCATTCTAGGCACACTGCAAAAGAGTCCACTGCTGTACACACGTTCTTGAAATCCGCACTAACAGGTAAAATGCACAGATGGCTGGTTGGGTTTTCATTGTCTGCTTGGACTCTTTACTTTCTGCTAAGAAAAAGTTTTTTCACTCTGTTAAATGAACTGACTCTCTCTCTCTCTCTCTCTCTCTCTCTCTCTCTCTCTCTTTCACACACACACACACACACACACACACACATACACACACACACACACACATCTTCCCTTCTTGAATATTTTCTCAGTTTCAAAGTCACTTTACTTCCCCTAAGAGGGAGAATGCTAAATTTCAAGAACTTGTCATTGGGCTTAATGGACATGCTTCCAGTGGCATCTAAGCTGGTCTCTACTACATGTATGTAAATGCAGGGTACACCCTCTGCACCCCAGAGCTCTCATGGTGTGGACAGTAGAAACCCTCTAGAGTACTACTGTGAAAAAAGCCCCTCACTCACTGCTACCTGACACTGTATTCAAAGGAAAATCGCCTCCCCACCTCACCCTCTCTCTTGTTTGGCAGAACCATGTTTGGTTTGGCTGTATTTGAGCTGGAGTTCGAGTCTTTTAACCACCTGTGGGAGAATAGTCCCCCATCACTGCACTGCTATTCCCTGCTCCAGACCCCTCCTGTCTACATGAACCCTCCTGCAGAGATGTCTGTCTAAGAGTCTGACTGGACTTAGCCTCAGTATGAGGGAAAGGGAAGAGGGCTTCTGTGTGCATAGTGGTGGGCAGAGACTGAATGAATGCTCTGAAGGCCTCCTCACCAAGGAGTCACCTGAGTCCATAGATAGGGTCTTCAGTGGACCAGCTTCTGGCCCCACTGGCCCATAGGCCATGCCAGAGAAAAAAGAAGCAAACATGGGAACAATAAGTAGGTGCCATGGAAAGATGAGGTCTTGTCACTCCCCTGTGAGTGCTAAGGCCAGGCCCTGTGGGGGATCACGGTCCACATGCACAGTCCTGTGGGCATGACCTATGGACTCTTCCAGGATCAGCTGCCCAGAGTGCAGCAGTCCGAGGCAAAGGTGTCCTTGTTTATATTCTTACACAAAAGGGTGGAAATCACGGGAGCCAAAGCCTATTCCAGTGAATGTTCTGACCAGAATATTTGGTAGAATTAATGGGTCTTGCCTTTGACATTGTGGACAAAGTCTTAGCAAGGCAGACTCCGTGTCCCCAAGATATCACTAAAGGTTACATTAAAGTTTAATGGGATGTTACAGGAATTTTTTTCCTAGACATAATACATCAGGGATGGATCCAGCTATTCATTTTGCCTAAACACAACTTTGATAGCATTTGAATTTACAAATATTCTTATACTTCTTTACTCTATTTGTCTTGCTTTTGTAATAAATCAAATTAGTTCCCTGAGCACTGGTCAAGCCATTTCCCTCATCTGCATGGCCCCAGAGCCATCAACTTTCTGTAGCTTTGAAGTGTTCTTTATACTTCAGTGAGACTTTCCTGATTTGAGTGGCATTTGGAGATAACTCCAGTGAGTTTAGTGTCTCTGTCTCAGAACATGTCTCTAGAGCACCTTCCGGAGGCAGCAGGGAACATAGGTTGATAAAGTGAACTAAATTAACATTAAAATTGCCATTTCGCAAGTGACAAGCTAGGTCTAAATCCCACAGCTCAAATAATCAAATTAAACTAGTAACGTGAAATCAACTCGTATGCAAACTTTCTGCCATTGTTTTTAATGATCCAAGCTGGAGTTTGCTGATGGAATTGGCCATGACCAGCACATCCATTCTTCCAAAAGCCTCCATCTCTTCATGGGGATTTATGCTGACATGACATTGTCAGTATTTGATTACCTATTATCATCCATGATTATCTATTATTGGATACTAGAAGCCATTCTGAGCACCCTGCTTATTTGGACAATGAGTGTGAAATGGTAGTGTGCTTTCCCGTAAAATGTCGCTAGTGCCTTGTTGAAGATGATGGAGTACCGTGACACTCAATAGTGTGGGTTCCAGTTAGAAGCAGACGGTTGATTGGATATGTTTTAAAGAAAATCAGCCTTACACACCACTCTGAACTCAGGAATAGAAAATGACCAAGACACACTTCATCTCCAGGTGTGCATTTGCTCCCACTGGGCAATGGTGTATTCAGAAAAGTGGGAAACCCCTCCTCAGTCTCCCAGAAACTGACATGGCTCTAATTCCTACATCTTCCAGAACACACAGCAGCATCTGTCCTTAACAGGAAGGTCAGTATGATGCCTGTACAAGTTAGAGGCCTTTGTTTCTGTCCCCCTCCAGGCAAGTGCACAGGAAGAGCGAAACCAGACACATGCTGTTAACAATTGGTACAGAGTTGGGTGTGGAAGGAGGACCACCTAGAACATTGTCTAATTGATTATTTTTGTAGATTCAACGTCAACACTGCTTCACATATTTGCAAAAGTTGTTAATTTGTGTTTTTTTTTTAAATTTAACAATGTTTTCTCTGCTAAAGTGGACTGCTTTTGCTTTATACCATAACCGTGGTCAAAAATCAAGCTTGAACTTCTGCACATGGATGGAAAGCAGCACAGGCGCCTCAGCCCCAGCACCTGGAGACACCACAGCAGCTCCGCACAGCTGCTAGGAAAATGCACAAGCTTGGTCCTGCACAGGGTTCTTCAAAAGTGTGTAGCAAAACCTGTGTGTTCTGCCACTGATTCGCATTTAAACATGTTACGCCTCATTTTGTGTTCACCTGCTGTTGCCTGTTTTGTGATACAAAATAAACTTATTTGGGATTGTTTCATTTTTTTTTCATTGAAATTTCTCCAAAACCTACTCAGCTCTTGGTAAGCTTGCAGAGATTACTGATATAAAATTAATTATTAATATGCAATTTGTTCTAAACATTGCAGGGATTTTTTCAAGAATGAAATAGTTTTATATTCCCCCTTTCTTTGAGGAAATAGGATATTGGTAATTGTGTTGGAGTGCTCGGGGATGCCTGGATTTTTTGTGGGGTCACTGGGCACACTGCACTTTTTCTCGATGCTTATATTTGGTCCTTAAGGTTTCCTTTGAACACTTCTTGGTAGACATATGCAACAGCAATTTCCAGTGAGCATCACTTTTTGTCTGTTTTCTGTCCATCAATACGCTGGTCTTAGATTCTGCCTGAGAGCTGTCCAGGACTAGGCCTCACATTGTTGCTTAATGACACTTGACAGATAACATGGTTTTCAGAATTAGTTTAAGACACTAATTGTGGCAAACTGGGCAGGGAGCTCTGTCTGTCTTGCATTGGATCAATTATGGAAGTTAAGAAAGGATCTGGATGGGGTATTACCCAGCCAATCAGCAAAAAACAATTCACACTTGCTCCAAGCTCCTTTTTCTCCAGGGAAAATGGACACACATGAGATGAAGTGAGCTCTTCTAGCAGTGAAAATGTTGTGTTCACTCACATTCCTGCTGGTGCATTGCCAACTTCTAGAGCTCAACCCTATCCATCCTTTTATGAACAACAAATTCATGAAGCATGATTCTGACTACTCCCAGGAGTGCAGCCCTCTTCCTCTCATGGCCACTCCCTCCTCACTCCTATCATCTCTGTCTGCCTACAATTTGGGGGAACAAAATAAGAGAATCTTGATGATGTACAGCATAAATTGTATTATATTTTTTGTACGTAGGTTTTATGTAAATAGTTTGTCTCATTCAATTGTATGTGAGCAATGAAATAAACCCCACCATTTAGGAAAAACATGAGTATCATTTTTCTTCTTATATCTTCCAAGTACATGTCTCCCAAGATGTGCCACTTAAACGAGAGAGTCTTATCAGAGTGCAGTGGACAGCCTCCTGGGGAAGCCAATAACACACTCTTGTTGTCCCCTCAGATGCTTAGGCTCTTGACTGGTGGCCAGGACAGTACTGTATGTACTTGATGACGCAGGAGAGAACACTTGGAAATATTGCCATGGGCAACAGGTACTGCGTGACCAGAAAAAACAATCAGACTTCCTGTTCATAAGGAGTGGGTGTTGGGTCCTGGTGATGATGGAAGGATTGGGTTGTACCAACCACCTTTTATCCAGTGCAGTCTTCCACTCTTCCTTGCACAAAACAAGGACGTTTTTAATCCAGAGATGTGTTTATTCACATCATTTTTCATGTTTTCACTTAGACATATTATATATGTAAGTTTTTAGGTATTTTATTTGGTTATCCTGAAACATTATTTGTTATACTGGTTTTTCATTTTACATAGACTTTTAAAGTTTTAATTTGGTTTTTTTTTCAATTTTTGTTTTTATTTATTCTAATTAGTTATACATGATAGTAGAATGCATTTTAACATATTGTACATAAATGGAGCATAATTTCTCATTCTTCTGGCTATATAGATAGATATAGATAGATAGATAGATAGATAGATAGATAGATAGATAGATAGATAGATATAGATACAGTAATTATGTCTGTGTCATTCTACCGTCCTTCCCAGTGAACTGGTGTCAATCCATCAGTTTGAACACAGCTAGATTATGCTTGATGTCGAAAAACAACTATTGAGTGACAGCCATATTTCAATATTCATGATATCATTTAAAAAGAAAAGAAATATATACATGTGTGTATTTACACAGTTAATACATACACATGTTTTTATACCTAAATATGCATGGGTATAATTATACACACAAAAAAATACACATTTTTCAATTGATCAGAAACCAAAAAAGCTCACTTAATGCAGAGGCTACCAATTAACATAATAAAATAAAACTAGCTATATAAATTTAAACTAATAAAGCATATTATAAAGATTAACTATTTCATCCTCAAAATATTAAAATTTTAAAGCATTTAATGAAGAATGTATCTGGCTGTTAATTTAGCAAGTAGAATGAATACATGCTGTATCACAATTTTCTTAAAATTTGTTTCCGAAATTTTTAATCATGTTAATGATATATGTCCTGGTGTTCAGATGGTCTCCAACAATGCTCGGGTATCCAAGGGCTCCTTTATAGAAATTTCTCCAGTTGCTCCTATGAGTTGAAATATGACTTGAAATATCTTCCTGGACCTATTTGAAATATATAATGTAATTTTGCATTGAAAGTATCTCTTCAAGCCCAGTTTGTGAAGAACAGTAGAAATGACTGAATGTACCACTAGTGTAACTGCAGCTAGCGACTTGATGTAAGAGGAAATCCTTCTTAAAATAATATCTGAAACAGTGTTCTTTTCTGGAGTTATTCTTGTTTCCCTTAAGTAGATCTGACTTTGTTTATAAAGTCAAACAAAGTGATATTCATAATTGTTCTTCTCTCCTTAACCTGCGTGGTGCACGTTTTCCTTGGAAGCTCCTGGGGTTCTCACCTCCCTGTAATCACCAGGGGGGGGGGGGGGCGGAAGGAGAGGAAGGAGATCACATGGGTAACAGGGTTCTGGGAGTTGCCCAGATCTTAAGACTGTAGGTACTGAATGCATAGCCAGGGAAACGAAGGTCTAAGGTAATTCTTTTTTGAATTATTTCTGTACAATGAGCAGGAGCTGCAAGTTTGTCTCTAGTTCTTAGAAATGCTATTAAGAGTCTGAAAATGAGTCTTATCACAGAACACAGAAAAGAAGGCTGAGTTAGGGCTTCTTAATTCTTTGCAAGTACTTCAGGTGCACTTCATCAGTCAGGTGTCTGCGAGGGCCTTTTCTGAGGCCATGGTTTCAGGAGCTGTCTCTGTCGTGAAGAAGCTGGCTTCCTTCCTATTCACTGTCCCCCCTCTCATCCACCTCAGAGTCGCTTCCTGTTTCCTCAGAGTCACTTCCTGTTTCCTGCTAGTACATACATGGCACATGGCACAGGCTCTCTTTGTGTCTCTTCGAGGCCCTGCCTGCTCTGGTGGCCAAGCCTCACTCTTCCCTGAGAGAAAGGTAGTGGCGATGGCAAAATGGAGCATGGTGGTCATCCATGTGAGGAATACTAATGGGCTGCCATGGTGGGACAGCCATTCACAGACTGGATTTGATGCAACCCTGCAGCTCAGAGGGCCCGCTTCACCCAGTGTCACAAAACACACTGTTCTGCCTTTTGTCCACCCCAAAATATTGGCCCTTTTTTCTAGCAGAAAGTCACCAAAAAACTGGATTTTGGGAAATAATGCAGTAGACTTGGAACATGAAGTTATCTTAGGATGTGGAGATAGTGGCTGAATCTGATCATTTTACATGGAGTGAGTGGATGCCTTGAGGACTATAAGCAGGTGCCATCTGGGCTCCAATCAGGCCTGGCGACTCCCCACCAAGAGTGCTTCCTTGTATAACTTCCCTCTCTGCAGATTTCCCTTCACCCAGAAAGAACAAAGTGAACTTCAGACTCCTGCCTGAGACTGTCTGTGGCTTCTTTAATCTCCATGGGCTCTTCTGAAAGGGTTTCATGATAATGAACTTATCCAACTTCCCTTGCTCTAAGACATGTCCTGATTCTGCATTTAGGAGGTCTTTCCATTCTACTCTAGAACCATTATTTACATATGGCAGTATCAACTAGGAAATGTGTATATGAAAATAAAATTGAAATGTGTACCTTTGATGCTTAATGTATGGTAGGTTTGCAGCAAATTATGGTGTTGATTGTCATTATTATCACGCAAGGACTCTCTCCATCAATATTCATCATCTCTTTACATGAGTACAGGCCAATTTCTCTATTTTGGCCTATGAAGAAGCAAGTGAACCAATTTGCAAATTATTAGGAGTTTGCTGCGGAGGCACTGGAGACCTGAATGGAATATATACTCCATACAAATGAGGATAAGATTGGTAGGAGGCCTAAGAATTCAAGCCTGTGGTTATCAGCTATGGAGGCCAGTGACATTCTTTGGAAACAGCTATCACAAACCAAGACTGGGACTTTCAACACTATATAATTTAATCTGTCCCATATCTGTGACTAAGGAAATTAACCTTAGTCACAGGTGTGTGAAACATGCCTCATTTCTGAAGTCAGAAGAGATCATTCCTATATGGAAAGGGGGATTAGACTTCTCTTCATTCTTGCCTACATAGCTTTCATTTTCCTTTGTTTCAAAAGCAATCTGATCTGGTGAAGGAAATACAAGCATCTTTACAGAATTCTTTCTGTCTTCTCTGGGGAAATAGTATCCAGCGACCTGTCAAACTCTAGGGCTTCATTGTTTTATATCAAAGCTAATTTGTTTCTTAGTGAGGAGTCTTTCTGAATGTTGAGCTTTTTCTGTCATATACTCTTGAGATAAGACTATATTATCATTCATAATGATTATTGATAAGATGGAAAAAATGTGGCAAAATATCAGAAGTGCAGAGTCTAATGGTAGCAAATATTTCCTAATTAAGTGCATCCTTTCAAACACCTAATAATTTTGAAATGTGAGCTTTCATCGATGACCTGATCATGGAATTGGCTTTGTATGGCAGGTTGAATGTCATCTGGGAAAGGGCAAAAATGAAGAAACTAATTATCAGTCTCTGATAATGATAGCAATCGCCATGTGGTACAGGGTGAACGAGACCTGAAAACTGGACACCCCAAAAGATAAGCATTCAGCCATATAATTATGATTATTTAAAAAAATATCTAGTCCTCATAATGAAGCCACCAAGGCCAGGGAAGCACTGAGGACTCAGGCCTGGTGTGGCAGTCCTAGCTGATATGTCACACAGAGGTGAACTGGGGGTAAAATGTCAAGAGAGGAAGAGAGACCAAGGTGGCTAATGAGCACTTGGGGAAAGTGTACACACATGAAAAATACAGATGGAACT